AATTTTTTATTTATTCATTCATTTATTTTAACTTGACTAGAGAGAGAAAGTGAGAAAGCAAGCCACCAGGTCCAGGACTTGAACCGCAGTCAGCCATGTGGGAGCCCAGCACCCTTAATCACCACACCACCTGCCGGCCCCTATGAAGGGCACTTCTTCAGTTTCCCCTTCATGTCTCCACTTTTCTGTGAGCACACCTACCCTCTGGAATTTTTTTTTTTTTTTTTTTTTTTTTTTTGTAGTTTCAGAGTTTTGAGTTTTAGCAGGATATTAGAATGGGATGAGACTTAGAGGGGTCCAGGCAGCGGTTTCTGTCCCCAGGGTGGTCAGGGAAGGCCTCCCGGAGGTGGTGACATTTTTGCAAACACCTGAGAGTGTTGGAATGTGGAATAGCCTGGTAGGAGGGTGGAGGAAGATGTGCACATAAAGGGAATGGGAATCAGATCCCAAGACGCCTGGGAGGTCCGGACCGGGCCCTGGCACCTCGGTGGCCGCATCTCGCATCCAGGTGAGGAGCTGGGAGCCGCCTGGGCCATGAGAAGTGGCGGGGCGGGTCATTCCCGTGACCAGCCTCGCCCTGAGCTGCGAGCGCGAGGGGGCGCGCTCGCCCTCTAGGGGTGCCGGGGACTGCGGCGGCTGCGCCGGGACCTCTACCTCCCAGACGCCACAGCTGGGATCGCCCCAGCTCGGTCCCTAAGACCTGTCTTAATGTTGTGCTCTAGACCCAGTGTGAGGCCGCTCCAGCCTGCTGGGTGCTAAGGCTTTAGACTTTGTAGCATATATATTTTTTTACTTTTTAATAATTATTTTATTTAGCTTAAACACACGTGCCAGGAGTTTAAGCCACCAGGTCCGGGACTTGAACCCTCAGTGGCTGTGACCAGGACTTGAAGCATGGTTGGGTACATGGGAGTCCAGTGCCATAATGGTTACACCATCTGTTGGTCCCACTTTTAGAATTTTTGTAGTTTTTTTATTTCATTTTATTTTTTATTTTTTAGGTTTTTGCTATAGGGAGTGTGTGTGTGCTCCCCGGAGAGAGACAGAGAGAGGGAAAGCGAGAAGCCACCTGGGGTGGGGGAATGGCCATGCTGCAATCCCTACTCCTCCATCCTACTCTCCGGATTCTGAACATACATGTACGTGTGCCCACCCTGATTTTCTTCTTTCTTTCTCGCTCCTTCCTTCTTCCCTTTCTTCTTTTCATTTATTTCTAAATAATTATTTATTTATGTATTATTATTATTATTATTATTATTATTTTAATTTGCTATAGGACATGTGTATTTACTAGAGAGAGGGAGAGAGAGCAAGCTGCCAGGTTCGGGACTTGAACCGTAGTGGGCCACGTGAGAATCCAGTTCCTTAACCACCCGGCCACCTGCCGGCCCCACCTCTCTTTTTCTGCCCAGTCTGACAGGACAGAGTCGTCTCCTCTCTCTGCCTCAGAATCTGTCCACTCTCCCCTTCTCCTTGTCCTCCCAACCCCAGACATGGCTCCCAGCAACTCCCACCTGGATGGGGCAGTCACCTCCCAGGGCCGCCAGTTCCCACAGTCGCGCCCCACCCCTACCCCACATGCGCACCCACACACACAGTCTATTCCCCCAGCAGCAGCCAGGGGGCGCCTGTGAGCACCTGAGTCAGATCACTTCCCTCCTCCCCTCTGAGCCCTCCACGGCTCCCATCTCCTTGGGGTGAATGCCGAAGCCCTCATCACCTCCGCAGCCTGGGCTCCCCACTCTCTCTCCCCTTCCCTCACTCCCGCCAGCCACACTATTGACGCTGGGCAGGTGTGCGTGTGTGTGCTCAAAATCCCGAGAACAGGGAACGGATGCACCTCTACTCCCCCCGGGGGTGATGATTTCTCACTGTCCCTCTCTCTGGTGAACCCACAGGCCCTATAGCAAAAACTTAAAAAAAAAGAAAAAGAAAAAAAGGAAAAAACCAAACTTGTACTTTAATTCTATTTTTCACAAGGAACTTTGAAGTCCCATTAGACAAGTCTACAGAAAAGTTGGACAACACATGGGACCAGCAGCTGGAGCAATGGTTATGTCGCTGGACTCCCACATAGTCAACTGCGGATCGAGTCCCAGACCTGGTGGCTTAAAACTCACGCCGGGCGCGTGTGCATGCGTGCCCAAGATCCCGAGAGGAGAATGGAGGAGAAGGGATTGCGGCGTGACCATCCCCCCTGGGGGGTGATTTCTCGCTTTCTGTCTTTCTGTCTCTCTCTGTCTGTCTGGTGAGCACACGCGCCCTATAGCAAAATCCTCTCCCAAAAAAAGAAAAAAAAATCTCTAAAAAGAAAGAACATGAGATATAACCCAAGGACAGAAAACACTGGGTGCTCGGCTAAGTGACTTGTTTCCAAACAGCCCCCCAGTGACCATCACACAGATGCCTTCTCCTGCCCCCTCATCTCCATCTGAGGGGCCCCATCCTGTTGCCTTTTATTTTTTTAAGAGGTTTTTGCCTTAGGGAACATGTACTCACTGGAGAGAGACAGAGACAGAAGGATGTAAAGCGAGAAATCACCCCCCAGGGGGGATGGTCACGCCGCAATCCCTTCTCCTCCATTCTCCTCTCGGGATCTTGGGCACGCACGTACACGTGCCCGGCGTGAGTTTAAGCCACCGGGTCCGGGACTCGAACCGAGGTCGACTACGTGGGAGTTCAGCGACATAGCCATTACGCCAACTGCTGGTCCTGCTCCTGGTGTTTCTCAAGCCAGGATTCAAACCGCAGGCTTGGCCATGTGGGATCCAGCCATCAACCACCACGACTCCTGCTGCTCCATCGCCTTCCCCGTTTTTGTTTTTTTTTTTCACTATAGGGCGCGTGCGCTCGCCAGACAGACAGAGAGAGACAGAGACAGAAAGCGAGAAATCACCCCCCCAGGGTGATGGCCACCCTGCAATCCCCTCTCCTCCATTCTCTTGGGATCTTGGGCACGCATGCACACGCGCCCGGCGTGAGTTTAAGCCACCGGGTCTGGGACTCGAACCGCGGTCAACTACGTGGGAGTCCAGCGACATAGCCATTATGCTACCTGCTGGTCCCTCCCCATCAATTTTCAGCACTTTCCCACATCCCCAATAGAAGCTCTGCGTCCATTAAGCGATAACTCCCGTCCCCTGCCCCTCAGCCCCTGGGGACCGCTAGTTTACTTTCTGTCCCTATGAATTTGGGACTCTGATTACCTTTATACCTATTTGTCCTTTGGTGACTGGCCTTTTCTTTTTAAAATAAAATGACTTTATTTAGGGGCCAGCAGGTAGCGTGGTGGTTGGGGGCCATGGATTCCCACGTGGCCGACTGTGGTTCGAGTCCGAGACCTGACAGCTTGCTTTCTCACTTTCCTTCTCTCGCTCCCTCTCTTTTTCTTACTCTGTCCCTCTAAGGTCAAATTAAAATAAGTAATTAAAGTTAAATAAAATAATTCTTAAAAAAATGTAAAAATGCTAACAATGTTTTAAACTTTGTTAGAGTGCATGCTTTCCTTCAAGAGAAATAGAGGTAAAGAGAAATCGCAGCTCCCCCCTCCCGTCCCCCGGGGAGATGGCCTCGCCACAAGGCCCTCACCTCCATTCTCCTCGGGATTTGGGGCATGCAAGCGCAGGAGGCCAGTCGGTCTCAAACCAGGCAGTCTGCCATGTGAGAGCCAGCCAACCCGATCGCTGTGCCCCTTGGCCGGCCCCACTGACAAATATTAATAATTGCAAATCCATTTAAAAGATTTAAATTAAAATATGACCTAATATGTCAACAGATCTTAAAATAGAAAGTTTTTCAAATCCAGAATTATTTATTTTGAATCTATTACTATTAGTCAATTTGACCAAAGAAAGAAAGAGAAAGAAGGAGAGTGAAAAAGCAAACCACCAGATCCAGGACTCCAACCATAGTCGACCATGTGGGAGTCCAGCACCTTAACCACCAGGCCACCTGCTGGCGCACCCCTCCCCCTCATCTCTCTCTTTTTTTTAAAAGAGGTTTTTGCTCTAGGGTGTGTGAACTCACTGGAGAGAAAGAGACAGTGAGAAGCAAAGTGAGATGTCACCTCCCAGGGGGGATGGCCCTGCTGCAATCTCTTCTCCTCCCGGGATCTTGGGCACACGCGCACGTACCTGGCAGATCCAGATCCGGGACTCAAACCACAGTAGGCCATGCAGGAGTCCAGTGACATAACCACTACACCATCTGCTGGCCGCAATATTTGTGTTTTAAATAAGTAGGCACATTTAAAACGTTTTCAGACAAACATGCAAATGCTATTTTAAATATACAAAGTTAAGATGAAAATATGACCAGGGAACTGCAGGTAGGCCGGCAGGTCGCATAGTGGTTAAGGGCACAGGACTCCCACATGGTCAACCACAGTTCGAGTCCCAGACCTGGCGGCTTGCTTTCTCACTATCCCTCTCTCTCTCACTCTGTCCCTCTCTGGTCAAATTAAAAATAAATAAAAAGTAAAATAACTTCTTTATTAAAAAAAAAGGTATTTAATTCCATTGTTGTTATTTTTTAATTTGATCAGAGAGAGGCAGAAAGGGAACGTGAGAAATCAAGTCGCCAGCTCCGGGCCTCCAATAATAGTCTCCCATGAGGGAATCCAGTGCCTTAACCCCATTGCCACCTGCTGGTCCAATAAAATAATCCTTTAAAAGAAAAAAAAAAAAAAAAAAGAAAATATGACTTTAGTAAGTAACTGCTTTTAAATTACATTTAAAGCTCTACTTGAAGGTGCATTAAAAGCGTTCTCTCCCCTCGCTCCTCCGGAGGGCCGGCCGTGGGTCGCCCCTCGCGCTGCCCGGGCCCCACCGGCCCTCGCGATCAGGCAGCGCCGCGGCCAGCCCGGCCAGGCCCCGACCCC